CAGTTTGCCACTGTGCGCAGTGTGCGCACCGCACTTGAGGGCTACATCTGAGTATTTCACAGTTTGCCACTGTGCGCAGTGTGCGCACCGCACTTGAGGGCTACATCTGAGTATTTCGCAGTTCGCCACTGTGCGCAGTGTGCGTACCGCACTTGAGGGCTACATTTGAGTATTCCACAGTTTGTCGTTGTGCGCAGTGTGCGCACCATACTCGAGTGCCATATATGAGTTTGCAACTGTGCGCAGAGTGTGCACCATACTTGAGGGCCATACCAGGCCACTTCGCAGTTCGTAACTGTGCGCAGCATGCGCACTATATACGAGAAGCATATCTGAGTTTGTAATTGTGCGCCAGCGCACACCACATTAGAAGGTCATTTCGCAGTTTGCGATAGCATCGTACTTGAGGACCATTACGCAACTGTGCGCAGAGAGCGCACCGTACCTGAGAACCATAGCTGGGCATTCCGCAACTGCGCAAAGTGCGCACCGAACTTGAACATTCCGCAACAGTAGCAGAGTGCGCACCGTACTTGAGGGCCATTTATGAGCATTGTGCTATTTGCAAGGGCCAGGGCCATTTCAGAGTGTTGTGCTATTCACAAGGGCCAGAACATTTATGTTGTGCGCTGTTGCGCACCGTGACTGAGAACCATTTTCGCAACTGTGCGCTGTTGCGCACCGTGACTGAGGGTCATGCATAGCCGATTCGAACCAGAAGCGTCGGTGTCCATATCAACTGAGTTTGAGTTTGCGCACGCTCTGTTGACCAACTCTCATTTAATGACAATAGCGGTCTGGTCCTAAGAGAAGGCCGAGTAATCATCTTGTTTGACTGAACACCGAAGTTGCAAACAGAAGCATATTCTGACCAACAGCGCGCGCCCAGACCAACTATTTTAAGTGTGCGTCCGCGCACGCCCAGACCAGATATTATAAGTGCGCGCTCGCTCGTGCCCAAACCAGATTTTATATTTAAAGTGCGCGCCCGCCTGTGCCCAGGCCAGATATTATTTTAAAGTGCGCGCTCGCGCGTGCCCAGACCAGATATTATTTTTGAGTGCGCACCCATACGCGCCCGAGCTTGGTATTGCAGTTAGAGTGTGCGCCCATGCGCGCCCGAGCTTGGTATTGCAGTTAGAGTGTGCGCCCGTGCGCGCCCAAGCTTGGTATTGCAGTTAGAGTGCGCGCCCGTGCGCGCCCAAGCTTGGTATTGCAGTTAGAGTGCGCGCCCGTGCGCGCCCTAGCTTGGAATTGCAGTTAGAGTGCGCGCCCATGCGCGCCCAAGCTTGGCATTGCAGTTAGAGTGCGCACCCATGCGCGCCCAAGCTTGGCATTGCAGTTAGAG